CCCCCTGGTGGGCTGAGCTGGCCACACACACACACACCACACACACTCACTCTCTCTCACTCTCTCTCTCAAATAAATAAAAATAAATAAATAAAATAAAATAAGCAAATATAGGGGCGGGGGAGATGGCTCAGTGGAATAAGTGCTTCCCTGGCAAGCACAAGGGCCTGAGTTCAATCCCCGATTCCACCAAAATAAATAAATAAATAAAATAAAATAAGCAAATATAAACATGTGTACTAGAAAGACAGTAAGGAGAAAGTTGTGAGGAATCTATCTGAAACTTGAGCAGCTTCTGCCATAAGAACTGTGACCAAGCCAGCCTTCTATGCGACCATCAGTTTCTCCCAGATTTGATTCTACTTTTCATCTTCAGACCCTGGCACGACAGGCTCTGGGATTAAAACTTCCCACTGCTTTGTGTTGGCTGGGGGCCAGCTTTCTGTGTTGTCCGCAGGAGCCTAAGTGGTGACAGGCCAGGTCGGGGCCATCCTCCCACTGCAGCCTGCTGTGCCAGGGCCTCGGTCCCCAGCACACAGGCAGATGCTGCTGCTGGAGGCGGCTGTATGTGCCTAGGTCCTGACATGGGGCCTCCTAAATACCTAAGTATTTATTTGGTGACAGGATCTCACTTCTGTAGCCCCCAGGCTGGTCTTGAACTCACAGAGACCCTCCTGGCTCAACCTCCCATGCACTGTGATTATAGATGTGTGCCATCACGCTCAGTTCTGGGCCACACGGTGGGCGCCTGGGCATAAGTTTTTTAAAAAGGGCAGAAGTGTAGCTCAGTAGGAGAGCCTTTGCCTAGCAGGCACAAGGCTCAGGGTTCAATCCTCACTGCAAAGGGGTGGGGAGGTGGGGGTGGGAACAGGACAGGAACATGGGACACAAAACCACGCCTGCTTTCCAATGAATCTGATGTAACTTCTCCACGGCAACTCTGAAGACTTTCTCTTAGATCGTAACAGGTCAGTTCCACTTTCCCCTATAAACTAGTGCTTCTGTCTTTGTTCACCAAGAAGCTGCCTTTGAGAAGGGAAGAGGCTTGGGGTGGAAAAAATCTTACAGGACAGGAAGGATCCCTTAGTAGCAGGAATAATTATTGTCACTTGGGGTTCTCACCACAGGGGCTTCAGGCCTGGCTTCCTGTGGAAGGCAGCTCCTCTGGGCCACATACCCTCTGCTGGCAGGGACAAGAGCACCCTCGCTGGTGAGCCCAGGTAGGAACTCAGCCCAGTCCCATTCCTTGGTAAGAGCAAGGGTTCCCACTGCTACTCCACACATGCGCACGGCCCCAGCAAACCACAGCTAGCCATGCACACAGATGGTCCACCATGGGGAAGACAAGGCCATTTCCTACTAGAACATCAGTGCAGGGGTTTCCCAATTTCAGGAACACTAACGGCAGTGGAGATCCCCCAGGCCAGAAAGGCACCTTCCCCTACACAGAACGATCACAGTCGGCGCCCGGCCTCCCTGCCTGTGCGATGAGGAACACTTTCATTGGAGACAGATGCAGGGCTTTCGGACAAACCCATGAATACATTCAAGCTCAGCCTGGAATGTAGCAGCTTAAAGACTCAAGGACTGACACTTGGTCTAAAATAAAAATCAATTAAAAAAAAAAGCTAGGGATGTAGCTCAGTATGAAGGACCTGAATTCAATGGGGGTGGCTGGAGGAGGCCGGGGTGGGGGACGCCATATACTGTTATGGTTTAAATCTAAAGGGTCCCCTAAAAGTCTCATGGGTTCAGTGGTAGACCTCTGAATCTCTCTGTTTTTGTTTTTTGTTTTTTTTTTTTTGCAGAACCAGGGATTGAACTCAGGCCCTTGCGCTTATCAGGGAAGCGCTTATTCCGCTGAGCCACCTCCCTGGTCCCTGGCCTCTGGATCTTGATGGTGCTATACTCATCAGATTAATGGGTTGATGCGTTCTTCGCTGAATGTCATCAGAAGGGCCCCCCTGGAGAGGCTGGGTCACTGGGGTCCTTCGGAGGACCCCTCTCTGCTTCCTCTCTCAGTGGCTCTGGATTTTCTGGCTCTCTCTGCTTCCTGGCCACCAGAGATCAAAGCCCAGCAAGTGGTGCAGGCCTGGAGAGAGCAGATCTCACCCAAGTATAGGACAAAGAACAAAGAGCATGAAGACACACAGCACCAAGATGTAAGAGCTGCTGAGGAAAAGGAGAGGCCACCTGTCACTGTTAAGAACTAATGCTTACTCCTGAAGTTCCAAAGACAACAGTCTCTGTGCTACAGAAAAGTAGTTAAGCAGCAAAGATGGTCAGAAATACAGAACAGACACAAACTGCCCTCTGGTGAAAGCCTTCCTCTTGCACAATCTAGGATCTAGCATTGCCGGACATTCAAGTCCTATAAAAATGTGGCTCCCCTCACCAGAGGAAGTTGGGCAAGTTCTGACTCACAGCACCAGGGGCAGCGCCACTGCACTCATCTCCCAGACAGGTGGGGAAATCTTGGGGCACAGGAGGACTTCTGCAGCCCCTGGGCCAGGAAGGGCAGAGGCCAGACCCATGGTCACAGGTAGGTGGGCCTTGCCCCAAGTGACTCTGTTCTATTTAGAGCACAAATCCTGAGACAGAATGGCCTGGCTCTGTGTCTGCAAACACATCAGCACCAGATGCTAGATATACCAAGCTCATCAAAATGAGCCACGCCAGCTGTCCAGCACACTCACAGTACAAACTGATAAACACAGTCCTCATAAAGAATGACAGGGGGGCCTGCCCCTTAGCTCAGTTCTTTAAGTGGCTGCTTCAACAAAGCAGTCAGGCTCAGGTTGCTGTGGTTCGATCCCCACAACACAAGACAGCCAGTCATGCCTTGAAGGCATTCGGAGAAAAAAAAAAAAAAAAAAACAGCTCATAAAGAATGACAACCTACAGGGTTATCAGACTAAATCAGGAACACATAGACACATGACATATCCGAGTCTCAGCACAGAAAACCAGGCCTCATGAGCACACGGTCATGCTGCATAAACTGAGCCACTGTCTGCCCGAGTAGAAGGAAATCTTGGTGAAAAAGGATGTGTTGAAGCAGATGACCATCAGATTCCAAGAAAGCCAGCTCCTGGCTGGGAGAGTCTTGAAAGGGGTGGCAGGAAGGGCTGCTTAGGGTCCTGTCTGTCTAGGTGGCCCTGCCAGGTCAGGAGGCGCTCAGCCAATAGGACGAGGTACAGGCTGGCCTGGCTTTTCCACACCTGTAAAGAAGCTGAGCGCAGCAGCCACGCATTGGCCATGCACTAGTCACTCATTCTCCAGGAAGGAATCCTCTGTGCAATTAGGGGCAACAAAGTAAAAGGGGGAGGAGTTACACATACGCTGAGCTTAGTAACGTGCTCAGCGTGACGTTAACCCTTAACCCTACATCACTGACGGTATAGTGGTGAGCACAGCCGCCTTCCTATGTCTGTGCTGTCCTCTTCATAAGGCGGAGCAGCCCAAAG